GTCCGCGTTATTTAGGATATAAGTAAATCATATTTTGCGACAAATATTGAAAATTATTTACTTTCTTTTCTAATAGATATTAATACTGCAATTGACCGAATTAGCCCGGATTTACCCTGTCATCTAAAAAATTCTATTCTCTTTGTTTCCTGTCTGCTGAAAAAAAATACCTGCGACTAAGCTGTTCCTTTAACTCTGTTATCTCATTCTTGTACATTTTCTCTTTCTCCAGCAACGATTGCAATTGTTTCCTCACAGTGTCTGTATGATCCTGTTGCTGCGAACTGTCCTGACTCGGTGTAATTTCGTGTATCTTCAACTCGGAGTCGCCGTGAGTTATCGCTTGTCGCGATCGAGTCACGGATTCCATTAATTCGACCTCGTTCTTCATTGAAAAATAATGACATATATTTTCTACGGGCTTATACAGCAAGGAGCATAGCTGAACACACTATGATGAACAATTGTCGATACTTTGAACTGTTATAACTTTGTAAAAGTAAAGCATATAAAAATCTACTCGGTCTCATTTTAAAGTGTCAAGCTTCTACTTTGACCGTGTCAAGTTCATTTTTTCCAAAAATATTTTTACATCATATAGCGGACGAGACAGTAAGAGTACCTTTATTATTTTACAAAAATTGTAAAAATTCGAACATATAAAAGCATTAAAAATTTTTTTTCGTAACTTGAACCAACAAGATTTGGTTTTGAAATTTTCTCTTTGCAACGGCCCCTTAAAATTTGCTGTACGACTTTTAACTCTGTTGAACTTTGAACATTAGGGTTAAATGACGAAATGTTGAGATTTTTTGACTCTAATGTTCAAAGTTCGATAAAATAATGGGAAAAAGTCGTGCAGTAAATTTTAAAGGATCGTTGTAAATGAGAAACTTTGATCTTTAAGGTTGTGATGAATTTAGTCATAAATAAAATTTTTCAGTGTTTCTACATACGTGTTATTAATTTTTACAATTTTCTTTAAAGAAAAGAACACTTTTTCATTTGCTACACGGTGTTGAAATATCTTGAAAAAAAAAAAAA